ACTGGGTCGCTTAACACATAATCCACGCTGACCATATATTGTAGACATACAGTGACCTATAATATCAGCAGGTGACAAACATGACCCAGAGCCTTATGGTCTGTGGGCAGTAGATTAAGCCAAATTCTCCAGTGGCTCACTTAAATAAGAATGGTTGGGCCTCTGTGTGTAATAAGAGTTACAGTCTTGGTGTGCTTTCCAGACCTTCCTAATACAAAAGTGACCGTTTACTCATGACTGACTGTCAAGCTCTTGACATGTTGCCTTGGCAATCAGCAGCTGGATGCCATGCATGCCTCTGCATAATATTAATTTGACAATGTCATACTTCAAAGCAGAAGCTGTAGTTTCCACCGTAGTTTATCGCAGCAATTGGAACATACCTATTAATTTGCTCTCTCTTCTCACCTTAAGATGCAAATCAGGCTCTTGAGTTGCCAGTGTAACGTTTGAGCCCATCAGTTGGTGTAGCCCTAGTCAGTACCACAGAATAAAAAATACTGAATTCCCTTATGTGGCAGCATCTGTAAGGCTGGCATATAAGTACAGACTTCTTAAATACTGATGCACTTTCTGGTTTGCCTGTCTTCACCTATTAGAACAAAAGTGTCCCATGTTTAAATCGAACGATTGTGAGCAAACAAGTGGCGAGAGGTGCTGGTTAGCAGTTCTGGAGCCTGTCATCTTCTGGTTAGCAGTAGCTGGACATAACCTGAGCAGCACTAGAGCCCTAACACTGTTTCTCGGTGACGTATTCAGGCAGATGCAAGCCCTTAACATGAGGGATTAACAGTAGGTAAGGAGAATGGTTTAGTTGCTGTGATCAAGTCGTTGTTTATGAATTACTTTCATGAGTTACAATGAGTTAACTTTCATTGGAACTCTCTGAAAAAGACATGAGGTCTAAGTTTTGTGGTGTTTTTATGATGCCACAAGCTGCCTGTGAAAATAGTAAAGCTGAAACCAACAGTGTTTGGAGATCAGCATGGATAAAAGGTTTAAAAAATGTAGGAAGGTTGCCATCTTCATGTAGGAACCTGAATGCTACAGACATAGCTACCATCTCCTCCTTTTTGAGAGTTTCAAATACAGATATAAGCGGTTTTTCACCCTTGAAACACCGTTCATGGGCTTTTTTTAAAGTTATCTTACCCTGACTCTTAACTGATGAGCTAGCTAGGTTACTACCGCTTCTGATAGAAAGAAGTGGCCACAAAACAAGATTTTCAAGTGGAGAAGGGCTTGTTTTTCTTTTCAAGTGCCCCTGTATTTATTGAGAGGAGGAAGTGATGTTCCTGCTAAAATGTACGTGAAAGCAAAGGCTGTTTCCTATTAGTGGTATGCACACACACTGTCAGCAGTCAGCTGCAGTAGGATGCCTGAGTTTGCAGATCTGAGCTAAAGAAATTTCAGCAATGCAATACTAATAGAAAAAATAATAAGAACATATCCTTGAAAGTTTCCCTTCAAAAGGAACACAAAAGGATGGAGTTGTCTGTGTTCATTTGCAAAAAAGGGGCCATGCCAGGTGACAGCTACATACTGGCAATTTAATTCCTCAGCCTGCAACTATGAATTCTCCTGTGAACACACTCTTCTTCTTCTAGGCTGGGAAAGTGACATTACAGCTGCAGTCTTTTCTGCATAGATCTGTGAACACCATATTCCTTCTCTTACTTTCTTTTCATTCATAAGCTTGAACTTATTACTGCTTTTCTGTTTTGCTGCAGAAATGCATGGAAATGAAGAATACCATCCTTGCAAAACAGAAGGAGATGCACAGCTCCTTGGAGAAGGTAAAACAGCTGATCCGCCTCATCCAAGGCATCGACCTTTCAAAACCCATAAACTCTGAGGTCAATTCAGTAGCCATCTCCAATGGCATGGACTCCACTAACAATACTAATGCTGCCACCTCCACCTTAGCCCCCTCCCCTTCCCAGAGCTGCATGGTGAACTGTAACAAGGGCGATGAGACTAAATAACACAGTGAAGTTAAGAAGGAGCCAAGGGAGGTGGCGGCGAGGAGGAAGAGCAAAATAACGAAACTCTAGAAAAGCAAAACCGGATTTCTTCTGGAAAGTGCAGAATTCTTTAGTTCTTTGGTTCCAGAGAGAGCGTGAAGATGCTTGTGCCAGGCGGCACCGGAGTTTGCCAATTGATCCTTCTTATTCTGTGTGTACATGCAAAGTTTGGATCATGTTACATGAATAGTGCCAGCTGGGGGTTCTTTGCCAGCACCATGCCAAGTGAAATAATATATTTACTCTCTCTATATTTTACACCAGTGTGTGCCTGCAGCAGCCTCCACAGCCACTATAGGTTTGTTTTATTTTTGTTTGGGGTGAGGAGCAGGGATGAGGGAGGAGAGCAGGTTTCAAATCCTTATTTGCAGAACAGTTTGTTTAGCTAGGGGAAAACAAAAACAAGTCCAAAGAGCCTGTGGGCTTTTCTTGTTTCTAAACTCTCAGTACTATTAAACCAAAAAACAGAAATATAAATTATCAAATCCCAGTGCCCAGAAGGGACAAGTCTATCAAATAAGCAGTATTTACTATTGTTTAGACAGGAGATGTACAAAAGGAAAGGAGATGGACTTTTCACTGAGTAACCAGCACATGTACAGGCTGAGGATCTACTGTTCCAACAGCTTTGGGTTAATACTATTTCTTCACATTAAACAACAGACATGCTTTGCAGAATTGGTTTGGGTCCTCACACTCATCCAGAAAGCCTATGTTGGGAATGGGAAAATAGAGGGCCAGAATCCAGGGTCAGCTTGGAGCATTGGATGGAGGTGTCCCAAGAGAAAATGTGCATCGATTACTTGAAAATGAGATTCCAACCCTTTTCTATATTTATAAACAGCAAAGGTATCCTGAACAAAGTAGCACATGACCCAGATGTGTGAACTGAACAGAGAAATGTCCTTTTCTTTCACTTCCTTTCTCTTCTTTTGGTAACAAGAACTAAATAAGGAATAGAAAAGCTGTTTTTCAGGCTGACAGTCTAATTAAAGAGGTAGATGGGACCTTGCATGGTATAGATTAGAAGTAATAGTGTCAGTGAGATACAGTGAGTCTTTGTGAGTCCTTGTGTCATCGTTTTGGGCACTGTTTTTTTATGCAAGGGCAAAATCTTTGTATCTGGGGGAAAAAAAACAACTTTTTTAAATTAAAAAGGAAAATAAAAGATATTGAGGTCTTCCTAGTGTTACTTAAAATAAGATCAAGGTAAGAAACATTGTAAAAAAAAATTACAAAAGTGCTATTTGTTTCCTAAACAAGTGATTTCTATTAAAAAGGTGTCAGAACTGGAGAAAATGCTGTGTACTTAGAATTTTTTAACACAGACTTTGCTTATTTATGATGACATTCTGCTGTGTTTGTGTTTTAAAATCAAATGGGACAGTTTCCATAGATTATACCATACATGCTACTGGCTAAACTCTAAAGAGAATCAAATCCTACAGTGCTGGATCTCACCCCACCTGGAGGATCTGTCAGGCTTGGCTCTGCTGCTACCATATCTCCCCCATTCTTTCCTGTGTTTGTAACCCAGAGAGAAGGAGTTGGCAGCATGCTTATTTAAGGCTTTTATGGTTTTGTGATATGGACTGATTAGAGCTTGAGAATGAAAGACAGAGAGCTGGTTGGACTGAAATCACCTTCTGTTACCTCCTCATGTTTAAGAAGTTCATCTCTTACATATAATCTTTGCGCTTTAGATAGCAAAGCTTGCCTTGTGCTTCCTATTATTGTGGGGTCTGTCTCAGTTTAGAGTGTTGATTCTGGTCACTTAGGGTTGTGTCCCAGAGCTGCCTGGTTTCACTACTGCATATAAACATTCAGGCAAACCCCATTTTCCACTGGAAGTACTGGGAAAACTCCCTTTACTTCCAGTGGGAGCAGAGTTGAGCCACTACACACACAATGTGAGGCAGAGTCCCTGGAGTAGTGCCCTTGAGAGCATGGGTTGGGTGGCAAGGCAGACCTGCTCAGCTGTTTCTAGTGGAAGATAGAAAAACTTCAGATTTCAAGGGTGCATTTCTGAGCAAGGAGAAGTGAATACTCCAGACACTACATAGCCTGAGAGAGTCTCTTTGCTGGCACAGCCAAGTATGCTTCTGTGGGATTCTTGGAGCTGTTTTCTTTCCTCTCCTTTAGGTTGCCCTTCTGCCCTTTAAGGACTTTTATTCCTTCTATAGGAGTGTGCACTATTTTCAGCTCTGAGCTCAGAACTGATATCCTGAGTTCTCACATTTGTCTGTAGTTGGGAAAGTGACTCTTACGTGCACTTCTCAGCTGAACCTGTGATAACCTCAACTCTGTCTTTTGATGTTTGAGTTCTGTTCCAGAACTAGCAGAGCTGGAAGGATAAGTTAGCACAAGTGGCAGGGAGACAGCTGGGCAGAGAACATCAAAACTGATCAAACTGAAAATGTCCTTGCATCAACGCAGTTACCAGTGAGGGTCATTACCACATGCACTGGGCCAGTAACCCATAGCATTTAAACAAAGTATTTCAAGGGATGAAGAGAAAAACCAAACTGAACATGAGCCATCTTTCTTTAGAATATGAGCCAGCAGCTAGCAGCCAGATACACAGGAGAAACTGCGTTTTTGGCCAGGTTGTTCTCTAGTTGGCCACTTGGGTAATTCTTAACATCATCATCAAGTACGTTCCTGGTAGGAGACAGTCTCTAGGGAGAGTCTTCATAGTTCTCCTGTTTTTATTTCTGGTGTTATCTTCTGAGCTCTTGGAAGCACTGCACTACCTGGGGGGAGCAAGCCATGCCTGAAGACTTGATAGCCCTTCTGTTTTCTTTGCCAGTTCAGGAGGGATGGAAGTAAATTCGCTGGTAGCCATACTTAAATTTGAGCACAGTTGACCAGCCAGGAGATGTTAAAGCAGCTACTACTGCTTTTCTGAGGCATCTGCTTGTCTCCAGAATCCAGTTAGATAAGTATAGACTTTTACGTCCCTTTTGTTACAGCATTTGTGTTCCAGACTGTAAAAGGATGCCTTTAGTTAATCATTACCTGGCAGAGAAATGATCTTAACTTAGACTTTTTGATGCTGCTAGGTAGTTTTCTTTCTCCCTTGCTGATCCTCTCCCTCCAGGCTCTGCAGCACTATCAGTCAGTACGCAAGGAGCATTCCCAGGGCTGCACTGACACTGGCAATGATGCTGCTACATAGACACAAGTAAATTTGAGTTATCTCTGCCCAATTAGCAGCAACGGGGTAGGAAGGGGGATTGGCATTTGCTAAATACAGGGGAGAATGGTTTTCTTCTAGCTGCTCTAAGAGGATCCAATCAAGGGAGAAATTTAAACTCTTTGACAGCTTAAAGCTCAAGCTTGTCTGCTGGGTTTGGATTGGTTTGGGTTTTTTCTCATGTAATATTTCAGATAGAGTGAGTTTGTACTAAAACTTCTGCTCTTTGGGAAGCTGTCATAATGACTGGCATTTTGTATTTCCAAACCACCCTCAAGATACTAACTAAATCTTATGTCATTGCTTGTCATTGGTGGGAAATAAGTGGCTTTTAAATCTCCGTTATAAAGGAGGAGATGAGACCACAGAGGAAGCTCGTATCAGAGACGGTCCTGGCTCTCAGCCCAGTGCTGATGGCTTTAAGAAGTCACCCCTGCTTCTTTGCTCAGAAATAGAGTAAGTCTTGCAGAACTAATTTTTTCCCTTCTCCTTGCAATCTGTTCTTTTAAACAGCTGGAAAGGTTCGTTGTGGTCAGAGCGGGAAAGCGAACTTGTGACGAGGCGAAAAGAAAGAGTATTATTATTAATATTCTCATTATCTTCGTTTAGAGCCAGCAGTGTCTTTAGTGCTGTACAAAACGCAGTAAAGGCAATACTTCTAGGGATGACTGGCAGGTAGGGTGAGTAGCATGGATGATTCTTCGAGGATATCATTAGCCGGGAGTTACCATGTTGGTACGATGAACTAATGGTTTGCATGAGCAAAACAAGGACTTCGTTGCAAGCAAGTTTCTGTTGGTGGGGATGTGAATGAAAAGCTGCTAACCTAGAAATTAAAGGGGTGATAATTTTATGGGCAGATCTGTTGGTTTTGCTGTTGGTAGGAAAAACAATATTGCATTTTATCCTTCCTAGCTGACTGGGCGTAAGAAAGCAAATCTGTATTCCAGCAGCCTAGAAGTGTGAACCCTAATTCTGACCTTCTTGGCTTCAAAATCATCTTTTTCCCTGTACTGTTGCAGAGACAGCCCTGAAAAGCAGCATGATCAGCATTCAGGAGGACCCAGAGTGAAATCTCCCTCTTAGCCCCACCAAGCTGTGGCAGCCCACAATGCAGGGAGTAAAATCTGAAATTTCCTTCCCATGTGGATTCAGTGGAAAATATTTGTGAATTTGCAGTGCACATGTTTCTCTTTTTCCCCAGCTGGGTTGCACCCTGCCCTCTTTGCTTCTGAAGCAGTAATGATGAATACATGTTTTTTAATGAAACATGTTTTTAAAATATCATATTCAGATGTCAAACCAAAATTCATGCTTTTACTGAGGGCCTCGCTCAATGACCTGCTCAGAAAACCACTGAAATACCGATATTACACTTTCTGGTGGACCATCCCCCTTTGGGCAGAATTTGTTGTGTCTTTTCAGAACTGTTCTGACCCGTCTTCACCCCCATTTGTCCTCCCTTGGGATTCTGAAGATCCAGGGCAAGTTCAACCTTGCTGGGTTACTGCACAGAGTTTTCTGACACGTAGAAGAAGAGTCAGGAACCTGGAGAAAGAGGAAGATACTTTGTCGTGCAGCTAATTTATTTGGCGCTTAGGCTTGCCTGGCCAACAAACTACCTCAGCAGAGGCTGTTCCCGAGCACTAATGTGGATTCTGTAGTTTCTGGCATTCAGAAGGCAAAAGGTCTCCAAAGAACCCTTCCAACAGCCGGCTAGGTAACTGGTCTCTGAGGGCATGCGAGCGAGCCTCACAGTGACACACTGTTGGATGCTTGTTTTCAGTGGTCAGACCTTGACCAGGGAATGCCCTAAAAATTGGGTGGGATCAGGAAAACACAAGAGCTGCAGACACCTTGTCTCCAGGTTATTGCCGTCTTACTCAGATCCTTCTTTAAGCCTCAGTCCTGTTTGTAACACCTACAGAATGGAATGTAATACTTGAACAATATGACTCTCTTTATCCTTTACCTTTAGCTCCGATTTCCCCCATGTTTATCTTTTATCTGGGACAAGAACCTTCTGCATCATTGTGTCTTGTATAGGCTGAGCACATAGTTGAAACTTGCCAATAAAGAAAATTATTTATACCATGCACTGGTAAGCTTGGTAATTGCAGACCCATTAAAAGACAAACACCTCTCCTAGAGGTTAATTTAAGATGTGGGCTTGTTTCAGAGAACAAAGTCCTTATTGGTCTGAGGGTCTGTTTCTATCCCCTGTCAGTATTGCTGAACTACCTGAGTAGTGAACAGAGAACAGCCTTGCCGAGAGCATCGGTGCTGTGAAAATCACGGTGCTGTGCAAGTCCCTGGAGCCTATCGCATGAGAACAGCCAGGCCGGGGGCTTCTCACCACCCCGGGCCAGAGGTGGGTGCTGCAGGGACGAGGGAAAGAACAGAAGCTGCTTCTGAGAAGCAAGGGCAGTGAGAAGGGTGCAGGGCTGGAGACAGGGGAAAGGAAGGGAGGAAGCAGGAGGAGCAAAGGAAACGACATGGGGTAAAGCAGAGCCAAGAGAAGAAACAGAAAGAGATGAGCAGGAAAGTGAGGGTAGGAAAAATCCAGGAGTGAAATAGGGCTCCGTTGTGAGAAGACAGGTATTCCTGCAGTTACAGGCTTTGAAAGTTCAGTGGAAAGACTGGAACAAAAAGGCTCTTCATCCTACCTCAATTTCTGACTTGGGCTGATTTGTACTCCAAAAGGGCCAAGTGTGGTGGGAGAAAAGAGCTGCTCAGCTGCAGATGGGGAAGGAAGCGGGTACTAAGTCATCCCCAGCTCTGCTTCTGCTGCTGAGTGATCCCATCCTGACGAGAGCCTTACTTGACTTCTGTGCTACAACGTGGGATAAGGCAGATCAAGCAGACCGTGGGGCAGCCAGAGCCTGCTCTAATCTGGACCGCATTAATTAAAAATTTTCTTGGCTAGAAATATTCCTGAGACGAGCTAAAGATTCACCTCTGCCAGTGTGGTTGCACCTTCCTACCTCGAGTGGCACCGTCAGCCTAGTTGAAACTAGTGTCAGCTTCCAGAGGTCCTGGGTCCTGAGTGAGCGGAGGAGACGATACCGGGCAGGACCTGTGACTCCAGTACTTCTCAGCCATC